GCGGCCGCGCGGGCCCGCTGGGAAGTGTAGTTCGCGCGGAGGAGCGCGCGTCCCGCCGGGCGTCGCGGTAGGCAGCTCCCGAGCCGCGAGCATTACACAATGCGTGCTCGGGCTTCCTGCCGCCGCCCAATGGAAGTTCTCCGCTAGGCGAAAGTTAACAAAGAACTCCGGAGAGAAACCCGGCTCGCGAGAAGCGCACTTCCCACTCACCTACCGGAGTGACCGTGGCGGCCCCTTAGTTCTCAGGTCCAGGTATGAGTGCTGTCCTGATTCCTTTCTCATAATACGGTCTTAATGTAATGGAACTTTCCCCAGGTTTAAAAGATTAATCAACATAATACAAAATGCTTTTATACAAAGTATAATTCCAACTCTAAAGTTGCCAAAAGATGTTTGTCATAGAAGTCAACACAACTAGTTTAAATTATGTAAGAAAAAAAATTGTTCCAACAAGTAAATCATCAGATTCAGCTGATGAGAACTGTTATGTTCTATTACCAAAAAGGAAGATGCAAAATGCTCTATACTTTTTGTGGTTTACCGGAGAGCCAATATCCGGTGTTATTCGTCATTTCTGCTGGGGGGGGACCGCCCTCCCTAAAGTTAAAGAACAGGCCTACAAGGTTACAGTAACTCTCCAGCTCCTGCAGCATTTGCACCTATGGTTTCTCTGGGGTTCCATTTGTACTTTTTTTTTTTTTTTTTGCAGAACCGGGGATTAAACTCAGGCGCAAGCGCTTAGTCTGGAAGTACTTATTTCACTGAGCCATCTCCCGGGCCCCACCATTTGTACTCTTAAGAAATCACTCATACCTAGCCACGGTTCCCAAGCTCAAAAGCAGGCAGTTTTAGAATCATGGGGTCCAGTTACACATGTGTGTGTATACATATTTGAACGCACAGCCAAAAGGGACCTCAGGAGAGATCTCTAAAATACAGACATATCCTACCTAAATGGTAATTCCACAAAACACAGCAGAAGGATGTTGACTCACAATTCTAAGACCAACAGATGGCGAAATAGAGCCCTAATCTGAGTATTCTAAAGTTAAATTAACAAAATGAAAATTTCCAAATAAGGCAAAGCCCTTTGTAATGTATACTTAAATATTATATTCAGAAACACTCATTAATTTGCTCCAACTCCTGACAACTCAACTTTCAGATATAATTAGGCCCCAAATAAGCAAGGTTATGACATATGTTTCCAGTCTATTTAGAACAATGATAGAAAATCCTCATCTCTAAAACCATGCATTTGAGAGCTGGGCATGGTAGTGCACACCTGTAATCCAGCTCCTGGGAGGCTGGGGCAAGAGGATCACTGAGTTTGAGGCCAGCTGGTCTACATACTGAGTTGCCTGAACTACAGGAGACCCTATCTTAAAAACAACGACAAGAACAAAATGAAGAAGAAGAAGAAAACCGAGCAAACGTTCAATCCTAAGGATGAGGTGGAAGGAAAAACAAAGACCCTCTCTCTTCCAGACTTTAACACTTTCAACTGTTAAGATCACCTCGCAGCAACCCTCAAGATACCACCAGCATAAAGAGACAGAACAGCATTGGCAAAAAATGTTGGTCCCCAGGGACAGCATTAAGCCACAGTATCAACCCAATTCTTATATCTGGATTATAGATTTTCAGTTACATCAGAATGATATAATAAGAGACACTTTGTTTAAATCAATTTGAGTTAGGTTTCTTATACCTACAATAAAACAATGATTAATTTCTCATGTTTTTATAAGGTATTATTACTCTCTAATTGTTTACATTGTTATATTTTATGTGACTTACTATTCCTCAGAAAAACTTACCCTCCTACAAGAACTCTGGGCCTAGCTGTCAGGGCTTATATCTACATGTCTCCCCAAAGCCTCATGCAGTCACACACAGGTGGGGGTTTCCAGAGCGTATGATGCTGCGCCTAAGTGTGCACTGCTGGGATCCAGGCTAAATTAGTCCACTGATTGGTCTGGCACAGTTCTCCCTCCCTGGGCGTGAGCACTGCTGCCCCCAGAATAAAATATAAGTGACAGCCAGGCCTAGTGGCACATGCCCATAACCCCAGTGCCCAGGATGGTGGGATTGGAGTACTGCTGCAAATTCAAGGTCAGCCTGAGGTCCCAAAGCTCACGACCAGCCTGAACTACACAAGGAGACCCTGTCTCCAAAACAAACAGAAAAAGGGACAGAAAGGCTTTCACTTGCCTCTTGCTTCCTCGCTACTTTGCCATTTGGCTGCCTTCCTGCCTTCTGTTTTTCCTCAGCAATGCTCCCTGCCACACCTACTTAGAGCCAGCCAACTATGAAATGAAAACTGTACAAACTGTGAGCTAAATAAACCTGTCCCCCTTTAACTTTGTCAGGTACTTTTTATCAGCAACAAGAAAGGGAACTAAGGCACCACCCATGTCCTTATCTGTGTCCTCCCTTTCAAGAACCTCCCTCCTTACCATTATTCCTTGCTCATCCCCTAACCCCTACTTACCCCCTGCTCTTTCTCTGTCCCACCACACTCTGGTTACAACTTACTTAATACTGTAGGTAGCTGGGACAATACCCGTGGTTAAGTGCTGTCTGTAATCCTCCAAGGTTGTGTTCTGATGCTTGCCTCACCTTTCCAAGCCAGCCAGAAAGAAAGCCCTTGAGCACAGGAGCTATGGATATTCCAACTCAGATCTATTACTTTCATCTATATAATAAACAATTCCCAAAACTGAACTAACTTCTATACCATATGCTGCTAACAAACCACAAATTCTAGTACAAACTCAAGAATTCATATGCCCAGGCTGGGCGTGGTGGCGCACACTTGTAATCCCAGCAGTAGCATGGCTGAGGCAAGGAAGACAGCCGCAACTCAAGGTCAGCCTGAACTATCTAGTGAGACATACATTGTCTCAAAAAAAAATTTATAGGCCCAAACTATTCTTAAAATGCCCTGGGCCAGCTCACCCTGGGGTGCACTGTGATTGAGACTGGGCGTGGTGGTATGCCTGTAATCCCAGGATTTGAGAGGCTGAAAACAGGAGAATCACTACAAGTCCAATCTGTCTAGTGAGACCCTGTAGACCCTGTCCTAAATACAAAAAAAGAAAAAAATTAAAAAAGCCAAAGAATTACCTACACACACACACACACACACACACACACACACACACACAGCAATTAACTCAAAACAAAGTATGCCCCCTAGACCAGCGAGTTTTAAAAAGACTGGCACTCAGTTTCTATTACTAACCATCACATCCCTGCAAACCCTGCCCACAACCTGGCACAAATGAGACAATTCAAAACAATTTGCTGAACATACTAAAAAGGTATTGTGTAGCACATTGAAAGAGGGAACTCGGTAGAGTAAGTGCTTTCCTGGCAAGTGCAATGGCCTGAGTTCAATCCCTGGTTCCGTAAAAAAAAAAAAAATCTCACAGTACATGCCACTGTGCTTTTGGGCTGGGGAGATGGCTCAGTGGCTAAGTGCTTCTCTGGCAAGCACAAGGGCCTGAGTACAATCCCCGGTTCCACCAAAAATAAATAAATAAATGAAAGAGGCAATAGTACACACCCACCCCTCATAAGTTTACACTATCACTGTTACTTGTGAGTGAAGCTATTTGCGATTTTCTTTGACCAGCCAAGTGTGCAGGAACTGGTAAGAGTCAGGAGTCAGAGGGAAAAAATATTTTTAAAAAAAGGAGGCAGCAGTATGCAAAGCGAAAGGCATTTTATATCCTACGTCACTTGCTGA